GCCAGAGATGGGCAGTGTGAGCCTTTTCAGAGCCAGTGGCTGGCAGAGGAAGATTCAGGTCTTTATAGACTCAGGCTCTTGAGTTGTACCGGACAGTCCTTACATTTGCAAAAGCAGTCACACCAGGAAATCTTGCCATACATGCACTATTTAACATAAGAGAACCTGATCTTCCCTGAAGTGTGTTTGCAGGTCTTCTATGGAGCAGGCATTTCAAGGCAGGGAGCAAGGGTACTCCTAAGATCAGGCAGTCCAGCGGATGGAGCCCTGGAGTGGTAAGATAAGCTGCTGGCTTCCATTTGAGTTTAATGCCACAGATTGTTTAGGTCAGTTGAAAGTTAATTCCAGAAACAGTGCATGCTTCCCCTGGCAGCTTGATCCTCTATAAATTCTAAAATCACCTCTAGGATGTAGGCTACCTTGCTATCTAGATTTCTTACACTTCCATGTTCTTGCGCTAAGAGTCAGATTATAGTAGCAACAAATGCCATTGACAGCATGAAAAAATTAAATAAAACAAAAACCCGAAACAACTTCTAAAAACTATGAGAAATGTTATGGAGGCTGCTGCTTTATGTGAACCAGGTTTGAATGCCAGGTGTCACTTGACACACACCTGCATTGTTGCTATGTAGTTTCACAAAACAGGGAATGCAGGACGTATCTGTCGGGGCCTTTTTGAGCAGGGGGACCCTGGGATATTGGCCAAGCTTTAGGATGAGGAAGTGCACTTCCATCACCCTAAACCAGTGGAGGAGGGCTTTAAAGAGCAGGCACAGAAAAGGACTTGGCACAAGGCACCAAGAAAGGTGAGTCTTTTTATTGCCACCTCTGTGGAAGTTCGTGGGAACATGCCAGACTTGCTGCTGGCAAGCACATTTGCTGGGCATGGTCTCCACAGTGTTCTGGAGAATATGCTGTGTTGGCCACTGTACGCTGCACATTGCCACTGCTGCCACTGACTCCTACCCGGCCTGTCATTGACTCCTACCTGGTCTGTCCACTCTGGTCTGTCTGATCTCCACATAGCAGATACAAGCAACTTGTAGCCGCCCCTGCAGCCCTCTGAGGCTGCCTCTTGCTGTCAGCTCAGTGATCACCTCCGTAATGTGACCTGGCTTTCACTGACTTCTCAACTGCTTCCATCTTACCAGCTGGACACTTTCAGTTCACTAACTACCCAAGAGTAAAACTGTTAAGAATTCCCCTGCTCTAGAGTTTATTTATTTTAAAATTACATGTATGCATGTATCTGTGTGGGGGTATATGCACATGAGTGCAGGTGCCTATATAAGGTAGAAACATTGGATTTCCTGGAACCACCTAATATGGGTTCAGGGAACCAAACTCAGGTCCTCTGTAAGAGCAGTGTGTGCTCTTAATTGCTAAACCATTTCTCCAGTCCCTCCTTTGTTTCTTTTCAGCTCCATTCCCAACCACAGTCAGCCTTTTTTGCTTATTTAAAACAGGCTCTATTTACAATTCAACCACCACAATGGACAATACCAAACACCCACACACCAGAAACAAACCTGCATCTGCACTGAACACATATAGATTACTTTCTTGATTATTCTAGAAGCAACATAATACAACTAAAATATACAACAGTATAAGTACAACTTATACTATATTAGGTATTATAGGAAATCAAATGTCTTAAAGAGGAGAATATGTACAGATTATAGCAAACCACCTCACCATTTTATATAAGGGATTTGACCATTATATAAAAGATTTGGTATCTTGAGGGCCTGGGAACTAATCCCCATATAGAGACTAAGAGAGAATATATCGAAAGCTTCTTCAAATCTCAATTCAGATGTCCCTAGATGAGGCCCTCATTCATATGACCTGTGAGTACCAAGTACTTTTAGTTCTTAGCTCGATCAAAGTAGAAATTTCAATATAATTGAAACACAGCTACCATAGGAGTTGGTATCTGTTTACCTTCAGTAGCAGATTCCTAGAATCTGTCACCCCCCTTTGGAATCCTGCCAGGGATTAATGAGTTGGTTCCAGCTCCTCCAGACCACAGCAGCTGCCATTATCTGCTGTGTTGATTATAGCCGTTCTACTAGCTGCAAAGCCACACATCACTGTGACTGATACATGAAGCCACGTCTCACAGTGGCGCCTTTCTCTAGTGGTAAAGAATCCTGAACATATTTCACACATTTACCAATTATTTTATATCCCTGGAGAAATACTAGCATTCTCTCCCATTGTTTACTTTAGTTATCTCTTTATTATTTGCTGTGAGCCGGTTGCTTAGAATCATTTTGTTTTGGCAACTGTAATAGCAAGGAGAATGGCCAAGAAGACAGAAAAGGTATATTGGCTTTATAGGAAAGCAGAAAATTAGGGGCCCAGACATGGATAGAGATTCAAGGCAGCAGCCAACAGGAGGTCAGTTATAAGAAAGCAGTGAGCCCCGCCCCATTTTACTCCTTCCTTCCCACCTAACCAACAAGCTTCTAAACATGGGAGCCTCGTGTGAGAGCACCTGTGCACCTCAAGCTCTTTAAAAACACAGCCAGAGCCGGGCGGTGGTGGCGCACGCCTTTAATCCCAGCACTCGGGAGGCAGAGGCAGGAGGATCTCTGTGAGTTCGAGGCCAGCCTGGTCTACAAGAGCTAGTTCCAGGACAGGAACCAAAAGCTACGGAGAAACCCTGTCTCGAAAAATCAAAAAAAAAAAAAAAACAAAACAAAAAAACAAAAAACACAGCCAGGCATGGTAGTGCATGCCATGCACTTGTACGGCTCAGGGAGGAGGTTCATCTGTCTGAAGCTAGCCTGGAGTCCCTAGGGAGGCCTCTTCTAACCAAACAATGAAGGTCTGAAGTCCTGCTCACCACTGGGCTCCCTGCATACATGTAAAGAGATCCCTGATATTTCTTTCACTCTAAGAAAAGTCATCCAGGGCTGGAGAGATGGTTCAGACTGCTCTTCCAGAGGACCAGGGTCCAGTTCCCAGCACCCACATGGCAGCTCACAACTGTCTGTAACTCGTGTTCCAGGGGATCTGATACTTCACACAGACATACATGTAGGCATAACACCAAGGTACATAAAAGACAGGGGGGCGGGGTAAGGTCACCTATATGATCAACACAGTACAGGACTGTACTGTGAAGTCTCACAGAAGAGACTGCCCCCTGTTAAGTGCAGCTCCTCAGCAACCAGTACCACATGCCCCTCGGGGTTCAACAAGGCACAGGTTGGCTTTGGAAACATTTTAGTTTATTTCATTTTGTGAAATATCTGTTTGTCTATACATAGCTTTAATCATCAGTGTAAAATGTATTATGTGTAAATTTCAGTTCTTTATTTAATTTTATTTTTTTGTTTTGCCTACAGGTATGTGTGTGTGAGGGTGTCAGATCTTGGAGTTACAGACAGTTGTGAGCTGCCATGTGGGTGTTGGGAATTGAACCCAGGTCCTCTAGAAGAACAACCAGTGCTTTTAACTACTGAGTCATTAAATTTCAGCTTTTTAGTGACCCGTTTTTATCTTTTTGATGTTAGGAGTTGATGATTTAGAGGTGTGTGTGTGTGTGTGTGTGTGTGTGTGTACAGCAAAAAGTGATCCTAGAGTGAGTTCTTCATTGTAGACTTTGGTTCCATTGTGTCTGTATCTCTGATTGCCTCTACTACACAGTACTTTGGAGTGCAGCTTCCATGCTGGGTGGTTTTAGGCAACTTATTTCATGTTTCAGCACCTGTTTCCTTTCTCTTACTACTGCTTCCACAGGTGAGCTAAAGCAATTCCTTTCCCTGCCCTTCCTGGGCAGCCGTACCAGCTTCCGGCCTTGGACACCAGCACCCAAGATTTCCAGCATGTGATTCCCATGACTTGTCTCAGTGACATCCCTGGTTCTAAGGCCTTTGAACCTGGCTTCTGTGATTCTTCAGCTTATAGACAACCTATTGTGGGGCTTCTGAGACTGCACAGTCAGGTAGGTCAGGTTCCCCAGTACCCTCTTCACACAGTCATCTTAACTATCTCTCTTCCTGGAGAACCACCAGTAGGTTCGTACTTTCATTCTGGGTTTGAAAAGCACACTTTACTTTATATATATTTTTTGGAAGAGAACAGGGGGCCTTATGTGTGATTTATTGCTCCCCTTGTTAGTGGGATCTTGTGTCCCAAGAAGTTTGCTAGTTTGTAGTGGTCTGCTACAATTTCTACCTTTGCTGAAGTAACCTTTCTTTTATACCTGAGCAAGTCAGTTCACTTAGTTGGAGATAAAATCTAAAGAGTTCTAATACATACTTTTTCTAAAAGCTGAAAGATAAAGAAATGAATTATTTCTCAAACTCCTTCAAGTAAAATAAAACCTCAGGCAGATTTAAAATCATCTAAATGGTGAGTTTCTGGAGATCTATACACATTTGAACCACAGAGGGGCAAGGAAACAACAACCAGAGCCAGCCCACAGTTCTTTCTAACAACTGCAGTCCAGCTTTGGAAGTGATTGCATACAAACCAGAAAGGTACATCATGAAAAAAGGCATGGACACAGACAGCATGCACACAAAGAAGCCATTGACCTTTGAAGGAAATTAAGTTCCTTAACTTCATGTCCTTATTTATAAAGGAATGGTCACTACCGTCACCAATGCAGAACACAGCAGAGAGCTTGGTTCAAAGTAGACAATTAAACAAGACATCAAAGGCACCTGGTGGGACAGCCACACCTTCCTTCATCTGGGGCAACTAAGTATCTTTTACTAGGAAACAAAGGCATCATCTCTTCCTGTGTTGCTAAGGTTCCTTCAGTCCAGATCCTGGAAATACCCAGGGCTGAGCTGCACTAGAAGGAGGGGCTGGAATGCCCAGACAGCACAGTTCAAGTGTGGTGAAGAAGATGCTGTGTTCTTGTCTCAGAGCTCAAAGCACCTTGTGACTAGGACAGTAGGCAGTCAGTCCTTCGTCTAGGGTAGTGAGTGCAAGCCCTGCTCCTGCCCTGTGCCCTCCCACTCTAGGATTCTTACCGGTTTGGGGCTTTCAGTGTCAGGCAGGTGTCTGACGTCCACACTGCTGTCTTCCTCACTACTGACAGGTTCAGTGCCACCCAGGTCCTAAGGGACAGTAAAGAAAAGCAGCGAAGATGTCATTCTTCACTCACACTGTCTCAAGCCACACACACTGCACAGCTGTAGGGGTGGTGTTCCTAAAGCTACAGCGGACACTGTTTCTGCAGAAATCATCCTGCCATCTTCCTTTGTAACAGAAAGCCAGCAGACACATGTGCCCGTTTGTTTTACTAGCATCAATTCCTGCTGCCTGTAGTGTTCCTCAGGAAAGTCTGCCCGTTCTCTGTTCCAGGCTGACTGGCTGTCTCAGGCCAGGTCCCTTTTTCTTATCAACAGTTTGTCAGGAACAGGAACCTGGACGATGAACTTTGTCAGTTCTGGTAACAAGACTAAGAAACGTGTGCTGGAGGTTTGCTGGATGTTCTTCATCTTTGGCTTTTTTTCTTTGTATTTTACTACTTATCTGGATGTTTATGCCCACAGATTTAGTTTTTACAAGCCAATAGACACTGAAAAATTATTTCCCCCACAGAATTGTAATCATATGTGCCTAGAGAAAGAATGTGGTTGAACTGATGTAGTCACTAAGACACATGATGTCTCAGGGTTTCTACTGTTGTAGGAGATACTGTATACACGATCCACATGTGCATTCTGATACTGGGGGAACGTGAATCTGGGTATTCCATTGTTGTAACAAATCATGTCCCCACAAATTCACTGCTATGTTAACCACCCATGCTTTAATTTTCCTCTTTCTCCTTCTGGTCTTATACATTCGACCCATCCCACGCTCTGTTTAACTTGAGATAGAATTCCAATCCCTAAAAGCTGAACATTTACGTTCTGAGGTGGCCAACTGGGATGCCAAGATTCTGGTGTAATTATTGTTACATCCGCACCTGTGTCTACCAGACCTTCAATGACAATGTCATTTATTCATATTTTTAATTTTAATCTTTGTTCATTTATAGAAGTTTGCCAAAAATACTTGCTTTATGGCTTTTATTGAGTTTTTTTTTGTTCTTTCTTCCATATCTGTTCTATCATCCAGAGCAGTATGGTTTCTTACAATAGGAATTAGGTTCTTTAATTGCTCCAGGAAGGAGTTTCCTCCATGACAATAGGAAAATGACTGAATGGAACTTGGTATGGGGGGCCTGTGAGAGGCCCCTCAAGTGGCTTCTTGATGGCAAAGGGTTACCTTGACTGTTCTTTGTTTATCTATCTATCATCATGGGTCTGGATAGGGGGGTCCATAAGTCCTACCCTTCCTGAAGGACTTCTGACAGTGTCATTTTGTTGTTGCTCTAGTAAATAACCTCCCACCTGTGTTTAAGCAAGATACTGTGGACAGAAGTTTCTGTTCCACATGGTGTCATAACCGTTCAGTCCCAAGTAAACACACAGAGGCTTAAATTATAAACTGTTTGGCCTATTGCTCAGGCTTATTACTAACTCTTACAATTCAAATTAACACATAATGCTTATCTATGTTTAGCCATGTGACTTGGTACCATTTCCCAGTAAGGCTTTCTCATCTTGCATCCTCTGCATTTGGCTGGTGACTGCATCTCTGATTTTCCTCTTCACAGAATTCTCCTAGTTTGGTCACCCCACCTATACTTCCTGCCTGGCTATTGGCCCATCAGCATTTTATTTAACCAATATGAATGGCAAATCTTTACAGTGTTCAAGAGCATTATCCCACAGCAGGAAACTCTCACTGAGCTTAGTGGGTCACACACGAGACAGAAAGTAGGAGGGGCTGTGTAAGCAGAAGGGTTTTATGGGAGAGGATAGAGCGATAACAGGGGTGAAAACAGATGAAATGTAGTCTATAAATTAAGTGTATGGGACTGTCAAACAATGAAAGGAAGTTTGTTTGTTTTTTGGTTTTGTTTGTTTTAAGACAGGGGTTCTCTATGTAGCCTTGACTGTCCTGGAACTTGCTCTATAGACTGGCAAAAACTCAAGAGATCTACCTGCCTCTGCCTCCCGAGGGTTAAAGGTGTGTGCTATCATTGACCGGCCCATTGAGAGAAATTTTTTTTTCAAAAATTGGCATTCGCCTTTAATCCCAGCACTCGGGAGGCAGAGATAGGTGAATCTCTGTGAGTTCGAGGCCAGCCTGGTCTACAAGAGCTAGTGCCAGGACAGGCTCCAAAGCTACAGAGAAACCCTGTCTTGGAAAAACTAAAAAAAAAAAACTAAAAAAAAAAAAATTGGCATTGCTACAGAAGCATATGATTTTAAAGTCTCTGGCCTTAAGAGGGAGGGGTTTAGAATTAGTATTTGTACTCCAAGGTCCAACTTAACAGGAACAGCCTGGGGTAACTGTACATACAGTGAGCAATTTTCTAAGTGTTGCTTTCCCACAGCTGCAAAGAACAAGTACAGAAAGACATTCAACAGTCACCATAGGACTTGGTAAAAAAAAAACAAACAATAATTAATAGTGAAGAAAACCTGTTATGTACTTGTGTGGATGTGGATAACAGAAACACAAAGTGAGGTGGCAAATACTCAACAAAGCCCTACAGCCCTAGGTGACCCGAGTGTCTCAGTTCCTGGTATGCTGCATCCGTATCACAAATATACAAGAATCACAATAGATATTCTAATGCCTTTCTATAATTCTTGTATGTCGATAAAATCTTGGCATTTAAAGAACTAATTCTGTGTAGGAAAGCCACTCAGAACAAGAGGCACCCAGTACAATCAATAGACATATCCTCAACCCTGAGCAGCAGCAATCTCTGGTCCACACAGCTCATCGCACCACATACAGCAGTTGCAATTCTGAATGTCTGAATGTCTGGTGATAGTGCTCTTTTTCCATGGAGGCTTCATTAGAGTTATTCACCTAGCCAACATGTTAATATGTATGACAAATTAGGCTCCATGTCAAGTTCTCCTTCCAAGGCACCAGTCTTACGGAACAAACAGCTGTTTCAGTAACCTGCAGAGTCATACAGTATAGCTGTATTTAAGATTCTCCTCTATGAACCAAAGTTATTTGCCACTAAAAGCTCCTCTCTGAGTTTGCCTTGAGAGTTGTACTGTATTTTCCTAACTTATTGTGCCTCCATTTGATGCTAGGGCCAACAAACAATATAACAACCAGGTTCTTTGAGAAACCATTTTCATAACTTACCTAGTCATGAACAATTTAGCTGGATGGTGGTATATCCACTGAGTATAAGAACTGTCTGTCAAACAGCCACTATGACTTATGCCTGCACCAACAGTCTAGAACACTCTTGGGATGCCTTTATCTCAGTGGAATCCCAGGGAGTGTAATGAAAGTGCAGCCTCAGTCAGAGCAGTTTCTAAGTTTGTACCAGACTTTGGGTACCACAAGCCTTAGTGAATTATAGCAACCACTTCTACCTATACCTAAGACACAATACTCAGATTTGGAGCAAACCCTAAGCTATCTGAATGTGACTTGTACTGGGATAGGGGTAGGCATTTTCCTCTGACTAAGAAGGCAATTAAAGCTTACTAAGAGAAGCCCTCCCGAGCTGCCTCCCTGGTGTTGCATTAGTGAAGATGCTTTTCTTGGGTCTTTTCCATTTTTAGGATTGTGGGCTGAGCAGGTTACGGGAAGAATGAAGCAGTAGAGGCAGCAGAGCAGCCCTGGCAGGGATGACAGCAGAGAGCTTGGTGGGCTCAGGGTGAGCTGCCTGAATACTAGAGGAGAGGCAACTGAACAGTTAAGAGAACAGCCAGGGCAGAAATGAAGGAAAGGTGAAGCTGACGGAGGATAAAAAACTGTAAAGAAGAAAAAATAAATAAAAGACATGGCAATTGATGGAAACTACTCAAAAAAAAAAAAACCCAAAAAAAAACCAAAAAAAAAAAAAAAACAAAACTGTAAAGAGCCAGGGAAGAGAAAAGGCCAGCTAGCTCTGGCCAGTGGGTGAGTTCCGGAGAGCTGTCAAGCCGGTGTGTAGCAAGGACCTGCCAACAAACAGCCCTTCAAGAAACAAGTACTGGATAGCCATCCACCACACAGTAATGTTTCAATGATGGACCATATACATAGTAGGGTAACATATGTCTTAGGATTTCTAGTGCTGTGATGAAGCACCAACCAAAGGTAACTATGGGAGGAGGAAAGGGTTTGTCCAGCTTGCATGTCCAAGCAAGGTCCATCACTGAGGGAAGTCAGGTAGGAACTGGAGGCAGGAGCCGACACAGAGGCCACGCCATGCAGGAGTGCTGTTTACTGGCTTGTTCCTCATGGCTTGTTCTCACTTTGGTCACTAAGAAGATGCTCTGCAGACTTGCCTACAGGCCAATCTGCTGAGGACATTTTCTCAAAGTTCTGTCCACTGACATAAAAACTAGCACATGCTTCACACATTGTCACTAGTCACACTGCACTTCTGTGCAGCAAAGCAATCAGTACGTGCATGTTACTTGATAATATGAGATAATTACTATTGATGTCTGTATTACACTACTTTATAAAATGTGTCTCTAACACACCGCACTACTCTGCTGGCACTCAGGCACTCATGTTTAGTCTTTCTCAGAAGCATTCATTAGCATCTCTTTTACATCCTAATTACACATGCGGGGAATCTCTGAGGAGACGGAAAGATCTCTGATGCCAACATCTGTGCCTCTTTCAAGCCCTTTGTCTGATTCATTCCTCCTGGGTCTGTTCACTTCAAAGGCCATGCTCTAAGTCGGACTATATTCACCTTTTAAAACCTTCTCTTCTGCTTTTAGTTGAACATGCCTCCATGGAGGAGGACATGAAGTCAAAATCCAAATGGTAAAGAGACTCAGGAGAGAGAGAGAGAGAAAGAGCGAGAGAGAGAAGGAGGGAGGGAGGGGGGAATTGAGAATGGTTGGAAATGGGCACTTACTTTCTAGGCAAGCTAAGGTTTGCAAGTATAGTGTGTGTCCTTAAACAACACAAGAACAAAATTGCATGTCCACTCTGAGAACAGAATGGCTCACACAGCAAGGAGCCGTTAAAACACCCCACTTGCCAAGAGCTTAAAACATGGCAAACAGTCAGAGACAGG